ACAACCAAGTTTACAAGCTTAAGTTACCAAAGATATCAACTAAGAAAAACTATATGTTGTAACAACTAACACACGCTAAAGAGTTTGTGTAAAAAAAATCTTTTTTTTTTAGACAACTCTCGCATTAGGAATATATATCGGGGGATTTTACAGACATACATGAAACGGACATAAAGAACACCCAGACTCAGGACAACAATTTATGATTCACATAAAGTGGTGTCCCGTGTGGGGATCAAACCCAGTAGAAAGCGGCGTGGCGACCGCTTAAACCATTACGCCATCCGTGTAGTCAATTACATGTATAGAGGAAAGAGATAATATGTTTCCATGTTATCTCATTAATCAGATGTAGTGACAAAAGCCGAATGGACACAATCTAATTTGTCATCTATCTAATTATATTAATGCGATCACCAATGTGGCTGCTTAACTTGTTGATCGTGGTATCCTTTACTTATTTATTCACGACAGTTAATCAAGGAGACAACCACTGATTAACAGATTGCGATCAGCCGTTAATTAGCATTGTAACTGTTGTCGATTACAGTTAGTTCGTTCTATAATCTTCTTTAATATTCCCAACTGTTTATCGGAAGAATAATACGTAATGTTAATCACGCAATTATCAAGAAAGTTAAAATGTAAATGAAGGACCTATTTGTAGACTATAGATAAACATTTATTATATTGATATCTTACCTAGGTTAGATCATACACCGACCAAGGTACATCATCGATACCGTCAAGAACAATAATAATGGTTTATAAAGTCAAGTCAAATCCATTTCAGTATATTTTAATAAGTAGTAGTTTATTTTTATATTAGAATTAAATACAATAAAAAGAATGCAATTTTGCTGTAAACTTTTTCTACCGTTCCTCATTTATTTACTACCTTTTTGTTAACTAAACATTCAGTATTACGATGTTTTATTACAGTTGTGTGATTCAAACATAGTATGTGATTCTAAACGATGCTTTTGAGTGTGCTTTAACTCCATAATTTTTAAAAGCGGGAGGAGGCACTCAAGAGGCGGCCAAACGGCTCTAATTACCCTTGTGCTGCGAGTGCCTAAGGGCGCCAGTAGTCAATTACCATCGGGTGACTCGTCTGCTGGTTTACCCCAATTCTATAAAAAAAACTCAATTCCGTCTCTCTCACTAACTTACACATTAACTATCACACAATCCGTTAACTTACCTCATATGTAAATTACAATTTTCAGAAATATTACCAAAGTAAATGCTTCACAATTTATCTGTATCACACTCTTTCTCAAATTACCCACAGAGTATGACCTTTTTCTGCTCCCAATCAAAGAAAAGACCCGGGACAAAATATATTGGTTTTCGTTGTTCATCCAAGTGAAGCGTAAGCACATTTATATAAGATCGGGCAATAAAAACCATTGCTCACTCGATAAAGCCCGTCGCACCCCGAACTAGTGATAGCCACACGTGTGATACCAATTTGTTTGCGATCGGCGCCGCTCATCGAATCCCGATTAGGGATTCCGGGGATGATCCCGGCGATTCAGACGCGAATCCCGGTAAATGGAGCGATTAGGCAATCTACCCCAGTTTAAGCGCTTCAAACTCGAATCAGCGTGTGCGGGAAGCGTCAATGCATAGAATATACAGATCACATAGTTGCCAAGCGTGGAAATTGTTTTAAACTGTATGAGGCATAGGGGAGTGATAAGAATATATTATAAGTTTATTGCTTTCTGAAACCTTTATTTTTTATAATACCCTGTACTTTAATCACTCTTGTAGAGGAATTCGAGAAAATATTTTACTATAAATACAATACGCCAATGAATTTAAAAAGTACATAAGTATTCTATCAGTCAATCTAGTTTTCATAGTACAAGCTCTGCTTAGTTTGAAAGTAAATGGCGTTGTGTGTCAGATGTTCGAAAATATTTTTATTATTATTTTCAAACAAGTTTTTTCATAGTTTAATATTTCATTCTATCTGTGTGTGGTGACGGATTAAGTATACCACCCCTGTTCATCTCGTGGGTGCCATAAGTGCACCGACCGACTAAGCTAACAAACTACGCAGGACAACAGCAGTACAAAAGAAGGAAAACTTGACACAAACCCTATATCAACCCGTCTGGCCTGGTACAGTAGGCCAAAATCTGTTTCTTAAGAGAGGCCTATGTCTAGCAGTTTACAAATTAAGGATGATGATTATAATATTTCATCAAATACCCAATTTATTGGCACCTAAAGAGCATACTCCATCCTAAAAGGCCGGCAACGCGTTTGTGACTCCTGAGTTGCACGCGCAGACGGCAGACGAGCAGACGGGTCACCTGATGGAAAGTGACCATCGCCGCCCATGAACGTCTGCAACTCAGGAGTCATATACGCGTTGCCTGCCTTTTAGGAAGAAGTACGCTCTTTTCTTGAAGGTTTAAAGGTCGTATCGGTCCATAAATACCGCAGACGATAACCCTATCCACAGATTGGTTGTGCGGGGCAAAAAGTCTCTCGAAAAGCGCACAGTAGTGAAGCCCCATCCAGGTGATGAGGATGAAAATTTTGACGTGTGGAACGATGGCGGAAAGTTGCGGCTGGTATTAGGCTGGTGTCAGCGCCATCTAACCAAATCTGTCTAAATGCATAAATTTGTGACTATTTTGTGTTGAGAATATGAAGCTTTTAGCTGAACACAGTTACCAATAGATAAATGAGTGTGATTATGCGTTGTCCAGTCGTTATAGCCGTGTGTGTACGGAGTTAAAGTTAAATTAATTCTAAATCCAGTTGGGTTATATCTATCGATAGGTTAGAAAGCTTACGAAGACTTACCCATGGGTAATGGCAACCAATAATGTTGTATAAAGCTAATGGGGGTAATTTATTCAAGCTTAATTTATTTTAGGCAAGCTTTGTATTTGAAAAATAAAGGTTTTATCTGTCAGTAGGCTTTAGGAGAACAATTGTTTGGGTTTTTTGTTTTAAATATATATTTTTTTGGTATTCTTATGTAGAAGAAGAATAAATGCTTAAACTAAACTAAACTAAACTTAAACTAAAAAATGCTTACACGTGAGGAGAATTTTTTGTACGTAATTTTCGTCACAAATTCGAAATTTGTACCTAGTAAAAGCCCAGAAAGGTGTTTTTTTAAACAATTATGAGGTTACCTTAAAATATGTGTAAAAAAAGCTATATGGATCAATAAATATAGATGTATTCCAGTATATATTTTTGGCCATGATACTCAAGTGTCTGAAATGTAATGAGTAATGAAAGTTAAATTTTATATTGGACAATAAAATAAAACAAGGTATTCAACGATCGCAATTCCACCGCGATCTCTAGTTTGTGTTATTGTAGTCCTATATAAGTCCTCATAGTTTTGGGTTATTGTAATATGACATGAGTTATTAAGTTTAAACTATAATCTATTAGCTTCTAAAAATCATTCAATCGCAACTGAGTTCAATGACATTTTTTGACAACGGCCTCTCGGTCTGGTGGTTAGTGATCCTGTATTATGTCATGTGCTCGGTCATTTGTTCTGTATCTGGGTGTAATTTATCTATATTATGTATGTGTTTAAAAATATATAAGTATGTTTATCAGCAGTCTGGTTATCATAGTACAGGCTTTGCTTAGTTTGGGATTAGATGGCCGTGTGTGAGATGTGTGAGGTATATTATTTTTATTATATTACATTTAAGATAAGAACATTCTACTATTTTGTCAACAACACAAAAACTACGATCAACATAAATCAGAACTGGGAACATTCAACATTATTGCACTCGAATTGAGATTGGCAGAGACGTACGTATTAATGTATGTTCTAATGAATGCGAATATGGTATTTTACTACGCTTGTTTGTTTTACAGAGATGCAGAAAAGTCTCTAAAACTCTTTAAAAAAATACCTACTTTCTGAATGTTATAATAATAACAACGAGTGAGCCTTACAACAGTAGCATATAATTTGGTAACATCGAACTACTACTTTGGTAATAAGCAAGTTTATACCATCCGACGGCCGACTCTAGCACCACGCGCTATTTAATTTCAACAATGAGCAGCTTTCTTCCACAGATTACAGTTACATTCTTTCATCACTTTTCAAGAAAGAGACAAAAGTTGTCACACGAGAATATACTCAACGTTATGAAGGGTAGAAGAGAGAGAAAGCAAAAGCAAGAGAAGTGGACAAGAGATAGTTTTAGAAAATCTCTTTATTGCAATCTGTTTTTTCTTGACATTAAATGTAAATTCCTTTATATAATTGATACAAAGATTTCTAATAATGCTTTACACACAACGGAACATTAGCCATATGAATAAATAATTTTTTATATCAGTAAACGTGGGTAGCAGTATATTAAAATAATAATTATTGGTTTTCGCCTAAATAAATAGTATGGTTCAAGCGATTACGATGGAAATAGCGAATGTATTTATTTAGCAACATTTCATATATAAAATGCGTAAACTTGTTTTAGTATTGTTTTACACGTTTAGGAAATTACTTTTTTCCTCGGCGATCGAGTTCGGGCCGTTTTGTTTCTTATTTTATTTCATTGACTAATATAACTTGAACTCTAATTGTATAACATAACTAATGAGTTGTGTAATATTTATTATTCCCTAAATTTTCTACAAATATAGGTATTGCTTTCATGGAAAAATTGCGATACTCAGAAAAAGACTATTTACAATATTAATAATATATTTTATATGTTCTTATTGACATATTTAGTGGTTAAAAGTGCAAGAAAGGAGACCAGGGACAGTTTAGCATGTTATTAAGAACTAAGACTTTTCTACTAAAGATTTTAACATGTGTTTCTTTTTTTTTAACTGTAAAACCACGATTCTTTTCTCATATTTATGAAAGAAGTCAATTAAGTGGCCGATTATCATGTGTTCCACAGATGAAAAAAAACTCATTGCGTACACGATGACAGAAAAAAAAAAAAAGTATGTACCAGATCATAATATAAAATACTTACATCCATACAGTTATTGATATTGTTAGTAATCTTGACATCAACCTCCACGGTTTCACCAACTTTCAAAGTCAGTGGGAGCGAGAAGTCTAATTGAATTGGTCGAAAGACATTGATGGTGCGAGGGGCAGAGAAGCGAAGACCGTGGTTGGAAAGGGAGAGCGCCCAGAGAGACCACCGACCAGCCTCTGAGGGAGCTGAGATAGTCACGCCATCGGTCGAGAGCTGGTTCCTGTTAAAAATTAGAAATTAGATATAGAATAGTAAATAGAATTTAATACGTTTAGTAATCAATTATTTGTTTGGAATTAATTATAAAGTTGTGAAATTAATGACAGAGACACATAGTCTCTATCATCATTCATTCATTTTATCTTTTCCGACACTGCATGGCTATTTAGATTTTTTCACACAAAACTTTTGAAGTTTCAGTCACTCAGTGATAGGCAACGAAAGAATTGCTTAACACCGGTTTTCTGTAAGGCCGTGTCATCACTCCAGTCGAGCCGGCCTATTCGTGCCGAAGCATGGCTCTCCCACGGCAAAAACTAATAACAAACTAACTCTTCTATTCTTCTTAAATCTTAACTTTATTCTTCTTAACTCTCCTAACTAAGCGTGTATTAGAAGCGGGCTTACGTAGGTATCACACTGCTCGGGATTCAAACGCAATCACATAACCGATCAACGAATAAGTCATTATACTACCGTTGCATTATCTGCAAGGAAATCGTTCTATTTACGAACAATATTAATTATAAATAACCTACGATAGTATTTACTCATAATATTGACATCTGTAAGTCTTTCTCGAAATTGTAATTGTAAATGCGCTTAATGTTGTTTATTGTTTGTGTTTTTTTTTCTCCTAATTTTAATTTTATTGCACTTTCAATTTTATTGTAACTATTAAGCACTATTCTTTTTTATTCTCTATTGTCTCATAAAATTATTATTTACTTAGTTGAAAATACGCACGCTGTGAATTGAAGGAGTACACATAACAAATACCCGTGTGAAATGTATTTTTCATATTTTGTGTACATCCTTTGTTGGAGATCCTTAAATAAATAAATAAATAAATCTCTACAGGTCCATTACAACAAGCTCTCGAATCGTATCAAAGCCAGTTTTAGTTCGGGCATATAGTAATTATTTCAGGCTTCACCATGTTTACACAGACATGAATGCTCTCAATTTCATTATACAAAATTTAAAGCCTCATATAACAGCCCACTGTATGTTAATTAAACTGATCAATGAAATTATATTATCGGAAAACAATGCAACGCAACTAATTTGACATCAACAACACAGCCTGTGTCATGGTAATACGAGTATACACTGTTGGTTTGGCATTTATTTTCGCTTGCTTTAGGGATTTGCGGTTAATATATGGACGAGTTTGTTATTTCTATGGTATTTTCTGTTATAATATTTTAGAAATTCAATGAAATAGTACGTTAGTAAGACGCATAAGCACGTCTCAAATTTAGAAGTAAAAAAAAACCGGCCACGCGCCGTTAACCGATTTGAAATAAGTAACAATTGTTTGTTTTTAAATAAATAAATATCAGTAAGTATTTTCTAATAAGTTACTATTTAGTACAACATTTGCCAAATAGGTGAATTTTCTAAGTTGGGTGACTCTTAAACTAACTTAGCCTTCATACTTTTTAGGGTATAATTAAATACAGCTACTAAATTACAAGCTTTCTAGTACTAGCAGTCTGTATACTAAGCCGCAGACGGACGGATGGACAGACCACTTCCTATTAGGATTACGGAACCCTAGAAAGGTTTTCTATCTTAACAATTTAATAGTAGACTTGAAGTCTGTTCTTATGTACGTTAAGTATCTCAAAGGAATAAGCTAGGAAATAATAATACCCATCTCTTTGTATCTTAAACACTTTAAAATAGATTATACATTAATAAGAGAGTAGCTATATTTAGGATAAATTAAATTAATGGTAGTGATTACGTCAAGGATAATCATTTTATTAAATCGGTTTGTAATCTTTATTTTGGGGTTATTATTAATTACGAGTATGTAGATTACAAAGCACTGTTGTGGCAATATTGAGACAAAGCTGCGTCCGATGATAACATACTGTGTTAAACCAAGAGGTAATGATTAATTTAGTCAATGATAAATGCTTTTATTGCAAAAATAATAATTTCAGACACTGTTAAATGTCCATTTGTTCTTTTAACGTTGTTAAACAACTTACGAAGCCAATCCATCGTAAACTGCCACACGCCTACTTGCGCCAATATATTAACACAACGTGGTGATTATTAGACCAGAAAATCTGCAGCTCCTAGGAGATGCCGATATTTATATGAAAGTTAACTGCATAGCCTAGTAACGTATAACTAAAGAAATAATACTAATTCATTCATTAGGGTCTAACGCATCTTTATAATAACAATACGCGAATTTTTTATGGGGATTATTATTTGTTGGTTCACATTAACCATTAATTCTTCAGATATTAATTTAAATGATGGTATTTAAATCAAATCCATATATATATATGAGATTTCCACGTATATAGTCACTCATCACGATATCTCTGGAACCATTAGAGCTAAAGACTTGAAATTTGGTAGGAATTTTCTTTTCACCGAGTAGAGGTCAGCTAAGAACGGATTTAAAGAAAAAAAAAAAAAAAAATATTTAAATAATGTAAATAGCAAAACAACGTTTGCAGGGTCAGCTATATTATAAACTCAATGATTTGTAAAATATGGAGTCTAAAATTTCGAACTTCAAAGCTACAACAACATCTTATAAGTACAAGGTTTAGTACAAGTTGTTCAATCTCAGACAATCCTACTCAACATTCAATACAAAACGATGTAATTTGTTATCGCTATCCTACAAACAGTTAGCGACCCTTGCCGGGGGCCAGGACAGGCAAATCTCGATGGAAGTTAAGATATCAGTACCGACATCGCTTTGTCTTCGCTGACCGGGCGACCTTAGGCCTCGCAGGTTGTTTTGTTGTCCCTTCGTGACTTATAATAGTCGGATATGATACATAAGACGTTCGCTGTCTGTTATGATTATTAATCCCGTGGTATTTCATTACATTTTTGAAGTGATAAAACATTTTTGAAATGATAAGAGAGTAAACGATAACGATTTGCCATGCCTATCGGGTTTTTTATGTAGACGATTGTCTTAGTAATTTTCTTACAATTTCAATAATTGTATCATATGTAATAAAAGTTTTTGTGAAATTAAATTGTTTTTACTGATCGACACTTTTCGTAATCAAAAGGCTGTCCTTTGTCTAGCACAGAGAATCAGCATTGCCATTCAACGTGACAATGCTGCCAATCTTTTGGGAACGCTACCAGTGGGCGATGATGCAGGGGATCTTTTTGATGCTTGTATGTAAATAATGTAAATATTGTAAATATTTTCATTGTATTATAACATATATTGTTTTGTAAATTTGACATGTAGTAACTTTTTTTTTAATGTTACTTGAATAAATGAACAATTAACGGATCTAATCATATCTATACCGTTTGCTTCTATTTTGTAGCAAAATATCATGTTTTTAACGCAACGCAGACTGGTAAACAAAATTAATAATTTTATTTTAAATATATAACACAATATTAAAAAAACTAACTTCAAAATTATCCTCATAAACGTAAAACTCAGAAGACATAATTTGTCAACCTTTTGATGAGTTTATTATCATGCTGCGTATATTAAACACATTGATTTAAACCTATTTCGGTTGAAAAATTCATCCGCAGAATGTTCTTTCTTTACATTTGTCAATCCTATTAATAGTTGGCAATTTTTCATGTAGAGAGATTGCAATAACTTTTGTCCAACATATGAATCAACGAATTGGTTTTGTGGCGTGATTTATTTATTTGTTGCCGATATCTTTGGAACTCTCTCCTTATAGTTCTTCAGAACTGTCTCTTGAGAAGTCACGAAATAAGCAACATAATCATATACACTTACATATCGGAATCTAATAGAAATCTGAAGACTTCGATGCCCGGGTCGGATCAAATGTTTGCATGTTCTGCAAATATTTGCTTCGGAGTTTGTTGGTTTTCTATGTATCATATGTATGTATTTACAAAAAAAGTATAAAAGTATTCTATAAGTCAATATAGCTTGCATATTAAAAAAGCTGATTAGTTTGAAACTAGATGGCGTTGTGTGTTAGATATCCAAAACATTTATTTATTTATTTTCTATATTATTTTTTACAGTAACACAGTAGCATCTGACATACGGCGAATTACGATTTATGTAATGTATTATTAAAAATTATATTGAAAGTAGACATAGAGTTAGAACGGGATACCTACATGAAAATGTGGACCACAAACTACATATATTCCACCTTTTTTTTTTCCGTGCGGAAATAAAGATTGCCTGTTCGATGGCCGATCATTGTACTGTTGTTTTGCTTAATATATTCTATCGTGTAAGGAGTACCTATCCATTTATTTATCCATATGTTCAATGCCATATATTTTCTATAACTTATAATTTTTATAATGTGAATTTACTTTTATTTCTTATTTCATATTAATAAACCTATAGAATTTTTTGTTTGAGATATGTATCAGTCTGTTCAAATGACATTATGTTATTTGTTCTCATATATAGTTCTTTCACTTAGGATCCCAGTCAAGAGGTTACTGGAGTTGATTTCCTTTTAGTTGTATTTTTTTAATATCTACAGCTATCATCGATTACAAGGTGCGAGGTACATGTAATAACAATTTTTTAGTATTGACTCTTACGAGCAAGAGACACAGTTAAGGAGACGCCCCACAAAAACCTTTAAATTCGTGATCGCCCCTTGACAAAGTATAACACGGTTGAGTATATTATTATGTCATAAGTTATGGCACTCAATGTACAAGTTTCTAGTGTCCCTCCTTCTTAATTAGAAAACAAACAAAGATGGCAAAATAAAACTTACGTATAATTGAAGCATTTCCACATCCAAAGCCGGTCATGCGACGCTGGTGGCACAAGATGTGCAGGCGCTGGTGGCACAGGAGCAGTTCGCTGTCGGTACAGCACGCCACCGCCGCATGCCCCTCCACCAACAAAGAGGGATACACCTGCAGAAACGAATTCTGGGCCTGGTTGCTCTTCATGTTCAGGGGTCCTAGGAAATATGTAATTTTTTTTAATTTATTTATTTTTCTTATCTTGCTAATTTTCTGAATACCACTTTTTTTATCAGTGTTACAACTAATTCAAAATGAGATTTAATGGCAATTGGGTATACTTAAATGTAAAAATAGGTTTTGAGTGAAAATATTAAATAGATCAAATAGTTTTTTTTTTATGTAGATAGCACATCGGGTCATATTTTCACCGGGGCCCAACGGTAAGGGTTTATGTCGCACTCGAACTGACTAGAACTGGGCAGTGTTCCATCGTCAGGTCTATTGCCGCCCTAGGCAACCCTAGAAAGGAAATACCAATGAACAACTACAGCCTGTTGAGTAAGGCAACTATCGCGCTGTTTGCGCGTGCTGAACAAGTTGCGCAGTCGTCTCGGACTCGACTTTCGGATTTGTCATCTCTCGCGCCCTTTCCGCCACCTTTTATCCAACATCACTTCGTCATAAAATTAATGGGCAGCATCCCACGCAATATTAAGTGATCTAATCATCGCACACTCATTCAAGTTCAAGCTTGATTGTCATTCGTTAACCTTTTACTATTAGTAATTTATGTCAAACTAACTTTCGCCCGCGCCTGACCGTGTGTGACGTTTTCGCGGTAAAAAGTAGCATACGTTATGATTATGTAGGTTTCCATTTGTGAAAGCTTTTTCAAAATCGGTTTAGTGGTTTAGGCGTGAAAGCGTATCAAACAAACAAATTTAGTTTCACGTTAATAGTATGATAGTATGGATTTAGACAGTAGGTATATTTAGTTAGAAAGCAGAACAAGGGAATCTGCTTACAAAATTATATTTTTAATATATACAAATATGTGCTAATATTATACAAAATTAAACTAATCTTGACATACGGATATCTATAAAAAATAAAGTGAGTCTATACTGGTTAAGTTAAATTATTTCTACCAGCAGAATGAATGATGCACTCAATGATTTAAAAAAATATAACAAGGTAATATAAAATATAGGCTAAATTTTGAAAATGTTATGTTGTTGTTAAAAAGATGTTGCAAATGTGCTCTTAGTCAAGAATAAGAAAAACTTAAATGATAATATATTATATACTTTGTCTTTAATCTTTGCTGATATGGCAAAGAAGAAAGACCATGTTAAGGATAACAGAGTTTCAAAAGTAAATCGAAATTAAGATAGAAATACTACACAAGGAAAAAATCTTACTTCTCGTCGTTTTATTAATTGCTATTTTTAGATAAGTCGTTTAAGGTCACTACTAATAGCGTCTGTTCTCAAGCATAAAAGATAGACCAGCCTTTGATTTCCTTCATTAAATTAAATCTTTATACAGAAGCGATAAAATAATTAATTGGAAACTCTATCTATCATCCTTCATTATTCAAAACTCGTTAAATACGATATTTTTTTCATCCCAATTACTATGTTATGAAAAAAAGAGGCTCAAATATTGAGTGAACAAAAAACTTTTGAAGTTAACATGTCGGTGTGGATGTCTCAATAACGACGGAAACGGCTCATATGTTCCCTACATTTAGATAAATGAAAAGGCAGCAAATATTTCCACTGAATTTCCTGTCACAAACCATCTGAAAGATGAGTGGCGTGACATAATCCTTGCAAGAAGGAAGCAAAGAGAAATACATACGGTATCTAAATCGTACATGGCCCGCCGTTAGCAATGTACCTTCTACTTTTTTAATTACTTTTATAACCATTTCGTAACACTCTATTTCTAAGAATATTCAAGCTCATTTTGCAAAGAATTATTTAAATTTTAAGCAATGCAGAGAAAACAAATTCAACTTTCTTTTCAAATCATCGTAACCATTACACGTATTACCATCACGATTATATAATTTGGATTAAAATATACGGATTCAGTGGTATCATTGTTATTCACATAATATAAAAATATAAAATAAATGCAATTATAAATTACAAGTATTAAATTATAATACACTTTTTTTAAATGACCATTCCATTCTAAGTTAAGTGTCTTTTGAAGGAGTTCACATAAAAAAAATTCGAAGTTTAAGGTAAAAAATAACGTTTTACATCTCGTAATCGTAATACTTTTACTTGTTGTGGGTTCTAACCCCACATGGGAGGACACTTTGTGAGATCCACAAATTGTTGTTTTGAGTCTGGATGTTCTTTGTGTCCGTTTCATGTATGTTTGTAAAGTCCCCCGCGACTCAGGATATATTCCTTGGGCACGCCGTCATTGCGGCGGTAAGACCCATTATGGAGGATTGGCTCGAGAGGCGTCACGGGACCCTCTCATACCGATTGACGCAGGTGATCACTGGGAAGGGATGTTTCGGAGATCACCTGTGTCTGATCCGCAAGGAGCCAACGCCTGAGTGCCACCACTGCGATGGCCAGACCGTGGACACGGCTCTCCACACGCTGGCAGAGTGCCCGGCGTGGGTTGAGCAGAGGCGAGACCTCGTGGCGGCCATCGGAGTGGGAGTTCTCTCGCTCGATAGCCTGATTGCGGCTATCGTGCGGAGCGAGAGTGCGTGGAACTCTGCCGTCTCCTTCTGCGAGCAAGTTATGCTCGCGAAGGAGACGGCGAAGCGGGACCGGGAGAGGTTTAGAACTCTCCCGGCCCGCCAGGCCCGGGCACGGGCCAGGCAGCGCAGGCGACTCAGGCGCCGGAGGTCGCAGAACGACCTCCGTCCTCCATAAGCGCAGGCCTGGGGGTGACAGGTGAGGCCATCTGTCACCCTAGCAGAAGCAGGCCGGGGTGGCGGCGAGCGCGTTGCGAAGCGCGCTCGCTTCCAGGGTGCACAGGGAACATGGGGTTCCCACACGGGGCGGGGGGTCGTCTACTCGTCTGTAGATGACCCGAGGTATGTCGGGGCACCAGGGCCTTCCTTTCTAGGGTATACCTGGTTCCCCGGCTATTAGTACCCGCCGAAGGCGTGCGGTTTTAGTAGGTTCGAGTCCGACATGCCACCGACAGGTGGTATCCGAGGGGATTTCCGCACGAAAAAAAAAAAAAAAAAAAAAAAAAAGGAAAATAACGAAAAAATTTATAAAACTAGTATTTTTTTTTTATATATGTCAATATCGTAGCAATACATTACGAAGACGAAACGTTGCCGTTCACTATATTATACCTCTGTATATTTTCATACCGAATCGTGTGACGATAAATGATGTAGGTATTTCGCTTTGAACACCCGTTTGGTTTTGTCCCGATATTTGATTGACGCTCTTGTATATACTTGCCACGAGTTGTTTGAACGTTAACGACAGATTTTGAAAAGTTATTATTAGATTTAGATATCAAGAACTAATTTGCTACTAGGGAATTAGATTATTAGAGGATTAAGAAAACTTAGCTCCTTTATAGCTTCTATAAATAAAAACTATAAATAAATAAAATAATATATTATAAATAAATAAAATAATTGACATCTTACTCTAACTTAAACTCCTATACCTTCCCTACTACCGTATAAATAGAATCACAACACTTTATTTTGATGTTACTAAATAATCATCATCAACAACAGCTTTTGATAGTCCACTGCTGGACATAAGCCTCTCCTTAGAAAGGAGGTTTTGGCCTACTATACCACTCTGCCCAGACGGGTCGGTATAGGGTTTGTTTCAAGTTCTTCTTCTCTTTGCTGATTTTGCTCCCTTAGTCGGCTCATATTGTATCGTATTATTAATCCGTTACCGTACGGATAATATTACAATACTAAATAATAATACGAAATAAATATAATAGATAAAATACACAGAACAAAAGGATTGCATTCAAATAATAAATCGATCTACGAAATATGGCTCAGCGATCAGGTTCAATAATTTCTGAACAAAAAATCCCATTTACACTAAGAGTGTGTACCTGTAAGTGTGTCTCTAAAAACTTACAAATAAACTAAGCGAGCCCCAAAACAAAACCTATTAGTGAAATGAAAAATAAAGACTAAACTACATATCAATCCTGTAAATACATAACTCTTTTTCCGTTAGTGCCAGATCCACTGTAGATATTATAGTTATCTCTTTCTCCCCCACTTTGGCATCACTTTATTCTCGATTCTTATGTTCTCACTAACATCGATAATGGGTACCCACTCGAAACAATATTTTATTTGTTAAATTAAATTCATATTAATTTATTTATTTTTACAATTAATCGAAGGACTCCGTTGTAAGTGGGGTTGCTTTTGTTTTTTTTTTACTAGAAACATGCTGTCCAGATGTCCATGAAAGTTTAAAAATGCGATTGTTTTTTGTTTTGTGTTTTGTTTTTTTAAAAAGACAACTCCCGCACTATTAATAAATTCTGTGTCGCGGGGGACTTCACAAACATACATGAAACGGGCACAAAGTACACCCAGACTCAGGACAACAATTTGTTGATCACACAAAGTGTTATTCCATGTGGGGTTTGAACCCACAACACTCGGCGTTATAGGAAGCGGCGTGGCGACCGTTTAAACCACTACGCCATCCGTGCAGTCGATTATCGAATCGACTGCACGGATGGCGTAATGTCGAATTATCGTAGTACTCCAAATTCATTCGCTTCTTTTAAAGCGAAGAGAGAAAGAGATATAATTATTACACACACAATCTCACAAATACATGTAAAACACTTTGAATATAAAAATCCATCCTTAAATTATAAATGTGAAAGTGAGTTTCTTCGTTTGTTTGTTTAGAATTTAGAAATTCTTTCACCGATGAAAAGCTACATTATAACCGAGTAAGATCCGCAAATTTTTGCCACGATAACCGACAAACACAAGGGCGGAGTCACCCAAAAGCCAGTAGTTAAATAAATAAACAGAAATAAGTACAGTGAAATTTATATAAATAATGAATAACATTCTCTTCAAAACTTGTGATTCTCTTATTTATGTGTAATATATATTCAACAAACCTGTTTCTATAGAATGCCTCCAAAGCGTCATCTAAAACAATTCCACTAGAAACTAATTGTTATCCTGTTCACGAACTGCTAATGCACT